TTAAAATTTTTTTGCCTTAGAAAATTAAAAAGCAGTTAATTAGCTTTTTTAATAGAGCAGAGAAACTTATACTTTTAAAATAAATACCACACACTTTCAAACTCTTCTTTAATTCTGCATTAGGCCAGGAGGAAGAGAGTAGAAACAAGTTAAAATAGGAGAATCAGAGGAAGAATTTGGGGGACAGCGACCTCCAGGCATGCTGAGACTCCGTGAGGCCAGGGAGCAGCGTGAGACGAGAGGGCGAGGGTTGCAGGCAGAGGAAGGGTGGGACAGAAATGAAGAGCAGGGGCTGGCAGAGGGGGAGAGAAATTAGGGGAGCCACTGTAATATTGCTTAGATTCCCTGGGAAAAGCCAGGAAGTTCTCAGCTGACAATCAAGAATAATGGAAAAGTAATTGAAATCTTTATTCCATCTCTTGAAAAAAATGCCACGCAGTGGGTATTCACAGCACAGCAGAGCGTCTGAATTCCTTGTCTCTCCCCTGTGCACAGCACCGGATTCTTGAAAGATTTATGTGCTGTGGCTCATCTCCCCACAAGTATCAATTCTCCTTTACCCACTGTGGGTCTTGGTCCGTTCCGTCACCTCAGTCAAGATGATGAATGTGTATCACACTCAAAGGTGTCCTCAGTCCCTTCAAAATTCCTACCTTCTGCCTCTCCCCTGCTTTGTCCCACTATAAATTAGTTTGTATTTTCTAGAGTTTTATCTAAATGGAATATTCTGTGTACTCTTTTATACTGTGGTTTCCATCACCCATATGTTATATCATGCCTCTTTATTTCAGGTTGTATTCCATTGTGTGTATACACCACTAGACATTACTTTGAAGCACAGGAATGCAGGACGGGGGGTAGGGGTGGAATGAAATCTAACCAGTACGAGGCCTTCACAAAAATCCAGAATGGGAGGGAGGAGTGCCATATTTTCCTACAACACAAATGTAATTTGCACATGAAAAAACTCGACTGTCGTGACCACATAACCGACCAAATAAAATGGTGCTTGTTCCAGTCTGTCTCCTGCTCTAATGGGGTCCTGGCCACACAGGGAACTGGGGCCGACTGGCAGACATCACTGCTGGGGGGACTCAGGGAAATGGTTTGACTGCTGGCCTTTTCTGCTCCAGACCCTTGACAAGATTAGGAACTGAGGAAGGAAGTGCCCCACAGTATTTATAAGCATAAAATATCATATTTGTACCAGGTTGGGTGAAATGAGACAGAGGACTTCAAAGTGTTTATAAATGGTAAAGCATAAACCAAAGGCAAGGTTGTCTTTTCCGTCAGAAACCACCTCAACATTTATTCTGTGCTCAAATAAAAATGTAACGTTTCAGATTGCTGATCCAGGAAAAACAAAAACTAAACAAAAAAGGAACTTACAGAACCATCAGTGAAACAATTCAAAGACGTTATAACATCATAATAAGCAACTCTGTGTACCTCTGTAGGAGGAGGCGGAGTTCGCTGGGTCCGGGATGAATCCCACAGAACCAGCTCTGTGACTCCGGCCCCAACCAGCATCACTCCTATGCCTACTTGACAATGGGAGCTTTCTTTCCTATCTAACTACTCAGCTATTTTGTGTCAAGCTTCTACTCTGTCCAAAATCATGGGTGTCTCTAATCGGATTGGACCCCAGAGACAATAGTCAAAAGAATTCTGAGACTTGACTAAACTCTTGGAAGCCCCTGCAACACCTCCCACCACTAGTACCTTTAGATCCCTGCTACCCTAAGTGTGGGTTGCAGATGGGCAGTATCTCTAACCACCTGGGAAATCTGCCCCCCAACCTTGGGATTTGCATGTTAACAAGATCCTAGTAATTTATATGCACACTGAAGAATGAGAAACTGTGGTCTAGATGGGTGGTTGCTGGAGGCAGCCGCTGCTGCTAGACCTGCTCTGGGGCCATGGTCTGAGAACCTCTGCTCTGGGCTCCACAGCCAGATGACCAGTGAACAGATGAAGTGGATCCTTTCCCATTTACTGAATATGGTGGAGAAGCCCTACACCTTCCACTCGGCCTGAGACGAGAATCCAGGAAAACTAACACTCCTCAGGGCCTGTGAGCAGGGCCTCTCGCCTTGGGCTGTTTTAATACTGCCCCCTGTTTAAACAGAGCTGTGGATGAGAGGTTCTAGGGCCTCTGTACTGAAGCCAGAGTAAATTTATGGCACAGGCTCCATCCGGGAATGTGTTTTTCCCACCTTTAAAACAAACAGAGGCTGAGGCACTGCAGCAGAGTTGTGGAAATAGGAGGGCCCTCTCTGAGAACTGGCTGGTACAGGTTGGTGACGCTGCACCACCCCTTTCATGGAGTGTTCTGGAAAGGCCCTTCGAGTCCAAGGCTTTTTCCTCCAGTCCTCCTCGGAAATACTCCCTGCATGGCACAACAAGCACGTAACCAGTGCAGACGCACAAGGTGGGACACTCCAGGACTGCTAACTCAGAATGGTTCGCTCCTGGATTCTCTTGCCTTTGTGTTAGGAAGAGTTCACTGAAGTGCACAGTGAGGAAACCAACAGCGATTGAAGTGATTACCTTCAAATAGAAACATTTAACCAAAGGAGGACACAAAAAGCCATTCTGAACAGTAGAGATGAGTGTTGACTGGTAGGAATTTGGTCAGCTTTGCCCCAATTGCCCATCAGGTCGGGGAAAGGCGAACTGTTCCCACCAAAGTTGTGTCTCACAAATTATAAATTTACATCGCAGATAAGCTTCAAAGTAGAAATAATAACTATCACTTTCAAGTGCTTATTATATGCCAGGCTCTGTGCTAAATGTTTATAGGTATTACTTTAATCCTAGCTGTGAGGTTAATATCACTGTTGTCCTCGTTTTACAGATGTGGAAACTGAGAAACAGAATCCTTACATATTTTGTCCAAGGTTGCAAAGGCAGTTTGGCATCCAGCCCTGTGCTCTCAACTGTAGACCACGTGTGGCAGGTTCCAGAGCAACAGCTTGGTGCGATGGGAACAAGTCTACCATGATTGTGCACAACAGGCATTAAAAAAAACAGACAACTTTTTAAAAAAGCATTGGAACTTTATTTGCTTGCTTGCTTATTTATTTATTGGCACGAGGGTAGGAAACAAAAATCTGACTAGGAGCCCTATTTTATAAAACAGATCCAAGTGTAGCTCTTTCAGTTGAAGGCAGCAGAGGCTCTGGACCCCTGCCCACTCTCGCAGCCCCTCCTCCACCACGTTCTGCTCCCACCCTGCATCACTGACAGGGAGTGGCTCCACCTCTGTGGTCTCTGGCCTCCGTATTTCCAATCCCAAGTCTACTCCCTGCCCTCTTCCCACCTGGGGGAATAAGAAGCTCCCCCAGCCCCCATTCTGGTCCTGAAAGATGGAACAAAACACGCCATGCGTGCCAAAGGGGGATGGTTCTGGTGGTACATGGCCTTTGAGAGATGAGCAGAATACTTTCAGTATGATGAATTTTACTCAGTACCAGAAATTACAATTAGTAGCTGAAGGGAATGGCAGGCAGTCATTTAGAAAGTATTGCGATGGCGAATCCAGGAAGAATGTTGAGTCTGAACATCTGGTGTCTACTCAGGTACAAGTCTAGTACAGCTTGGAACTGTGTGGAGGCACGATCGTGTGCATTAAGCATTGATGGTCTGGCGTTTGTCTAATCCAAGGCGTTAGTGGACTGGACATGTTTAGAGGGAGTAAGCGCCATGCTATCTCAAACACTGGTTCATGGACTTCCCACACCATCTCTATGCCTGAAGACTTTAGTGCCTGAGGCTTGGGTAGTTCCGTCCCCAGCCCCACCCACAGCACTTTCATGGAGGAGCCTCAGGTGGCTCTGTCCAAGGAGCAACGTGGCAAGTGGCTTGCCATTCTCTTCATGCCGTCCAGAAAGGTATGGCTGCCATTCCGGGTCACTGAGCTACCTGGGCGCATCAGGGTCAGCCTCAAGGAGAGAGCAGCATCACCATACTCTTCTATACAAGCGCTGAACGTCTGGAGTGGCAGGAACTCAGGAAGCCATGTTGGTCCCTTTTATGTGATCCATTCAATAACATTAATGACTATGTGGAATGGACCACATCTGGTGGCGGTGATGGTAATGGGGTGGGGTGGCTCTCACCTTTAAAAAAAACGCAACACTTTAACCTTCAATCCCCTTTCACATTCTGGCAGACATTTTTCCAGTCTTCCTTCGCAACTTTTTTTTACATAGCAATCTCAAGCGAGGTAAGTAAATTTACCTGCCCTTTGGTTTCGTCACATGTAGAATAAACAATGGTTCTCCAGTTTTATTGCACAACAGTCACCTGAAGGCTTTAACATTTTAAAAAGATTTTATATATTTATTTTTAGAGAGCGGTGAAGGGAGGGAGAGAAAGGTAGAGGTACAGACAAACATCAGTTGGCTGCCTCTCACGCACCCCCAGTCAGTTCCCAGGCCTGCAACCCTGGCCTGTGCCCTCACCCGAATCAAACAGATGACCTTTCAGTTTGTGGGACGATGCTCAACCCACTGAGCCACACCAACCAGGAATGGAGAAGGCTTTTTACAGCGCAGATTGCTGGGCTCCATCCACAGAATTTCTGATTCGGTGGGTCTGGAGTGGGGACTGGGAATTGCATTCCCAACAAGTTCCCAGGCGATGCTGCTGACCAGGAAACCGTGTTGGAGAACCTGTGAAACAAGGAGACCGAGTTGTGGGATTTCCAAGGTTCCTGCTGGGTTCAGAATTTAAGTGTTGGCATATTTTTCAACAATGTTTAAAAAGCCAGCTCTTAAAATACATGACTCTTCTGAACTTTAAAAGAACCCTGCGCTTTTTAAAAATATAAAAGAACATCTACCATTTACAAGTAATTGTTTCCATTTGTAGCTCATATGTGTTCCGCACCTATTTCTCTTTGAAGCTACCTGGGTTTTTGTTTTTTTAAGAATATCTTTAAAGAACAGTCAGACTTAGAGCTAATACTTTATTGTTTTTTCTTTGCCTTTACACAGTTCCATATGTGTTGAAGAGCTGTGCAGAATTTATAGAGACTCATGGCATCGTGGATGGAATTTACCGGCTTTCGGGAGTCACCTCAAACATACAACGGCTAAGGCAAGCTAAAAGGATAGCCCCCAAAAGAATTCTCTCCGGATTCTTTCTAGGTCCATATCTCTGCCCACAGGTGTTGGGGGTATTAAAAACCTGAGGGGAATGAGGGAAGGGTGGAGGGGCAGAAGATCCAGTGCTGATGTTTTCAGAGGCCTGTTCTTAATCTAATCAGGAAATTCTCTAGTCTAAAGTAATTCGTTCCAACAAAAGCTCCTGAGGGCTCTTAATCTGTTTCTTTATCTTATACTAGATTTACCCTCCTTGGGTGGATTCGCTGGAGCTCATGATTTCAATTTATGAGTTAGGGAAATATGATTGGTTATAATTCACTTGCTTACCCAAAGCTCAGTTAGATCCCATTACATAGTGTTCAAAGCTCAGAGACGGGTGTGAGTTTTTCTGTTGGTGTGCACTCGACGTGTGGTATTTCATCAGCTGGAGAGCTCAGAAGTCTGCATAAATGTGCATTTCTCTAACTGAAGCTGGTGTTTTAAAAATTGTTGGTTAAGAATCATTCATTATTAAATTTCATTATTAACATTAATTTTAATAGTGAATGATTCTTAATTCTATGAACTTATCTTAAGCAATTCTAAAATTTATCCTCAAGTTTTTTGGAAGAAATTTCCATCACATTGAATTTACAGTATAATAATCCACATAAAACACAGATACGTGTGCCCTGGCTGGTGTGGCTCAGCTGGTTGGAGTGTCGTCCCATAACAGAAAGGCTGTGGGTTCAACTTCGGGTCAGGGCACAGGCCTAGGTTGCAGGTTTGATCCCTGGTCTGGGCGCGTGGTGGAAGCAACCAATCAGTGCTCCTCTCTCGAATTGATGTTTTTGTGTCTTTCCCTTCCCCTCTCCCTTTCTCTCTCTCTCAAAAAAAAAGGCAATGAAAAGTGTCCTTGGGTGAGAATTAAAAAAAACCCCTACAGATATATGTGTGTGTATATTTTATATGTATTAATTATAAAATAAAAGGAGTACATACCTCCTATATATACAGTATACAGGGTGAGGCAAAAGGAGGTTTACAGTTTGTATGGAAAATAATACAATAATTAATAAATAATAATACAAGGATAAATTCTGTGTTTTGTGTGCTCACAATTATAAACCTACTTTTGTACCACCACATATATACATAATGTACAACACGTATATACTATATAATATATATACTGTTTTGTGACTAAAACAATAGGTTATGTACTTTAACATGAGAAAGAACATATTGTATCAGATGTTATTTTTAGGTACTTATTATATGTTTTTAGTTGTAAATGTAGAGTTTTAAAACAGTGAAAACATTCTTGTTACAGAGTAAGTATGGAAAATTTACCATATTTGCTTCTATAAAGCGCACCCATATTTGGTGCACGTCACACACAGGATTATTATACCCATAATATGTAATCATTATACCCATGGATATACCCACATTTTAATTTTTCCCTCAAAAATTTGTCCAAAAAAGTATGCATTATACACAGCAAAATATACAGTTAGAGATTGTGCAAATAATTCATTTTCTGTCTTCTTTCATCTATTTGATTTTTCTGACTCTCCTTTTCAAATCTCAAATCTCAATTGCAATAAAATTGTACTAAATGAATAAAACAATCTTTTTATTTTTGGAGAAGTGATGGCTATAAAAAAAGTAACTAGCCCCAGCTTAGTACATTGAGTGCGGGCCTGTGAAGCAGGGGGTCACCGGTTCGGTTCCCAGTCAGGGCACATGCCTGGGTTGCAGACCAGGTCCCCAGTGGGGGACGCATGGGAGGCAACCACACATTGATGTTTCTCTCTCACTTTCTCCTTCCCTTCCCCTCTCTCTAAAAATAAATAAATAAAATATTTTAAAAAAAAACAGTTAATTGCAACCATCGATTTTTAACAGAACTGTGTGCTTACATAATTTCATTAACTGACTAGTGTGACAGTTTTTAGACTTTCAATAGCAAATACTTTTTAATGGTTTACTCTTAGTTCTAAAATATACTACGCAGTAGTTGATACCATGGAAGGACACCTGGGCCATAGTCATTCCTTTTTAAATTATGGACTGACCTTAACCTTTACAGGGGAAACTTTTGGCTAAATAAATGAAAAAGCTTTCAATTGTTCTTGTTCTGCCCTCTTAGAAAAACACATGACTATGAATATATGAGGCCATTGGTTTTCTTTTCTGGGTCCCACTCAATTTTGGGGGGCTCTGCAGCATCAGGGATTTCCCTACCCCTATTAACAGGGCAGAACCAAACTGCAGGAGAAGGGGCCAGCTGATTGGAAATGCTGGCTCTAGGAATCCCGTTGTCCTTGTGACTGCTTGGTTGACCAAGTCAGTACCCTCATGAAGCCTAACTTCTGAGTTAAAACTTAAACTTGTCTTTTTTCAAACAGATTTTTGATTGGAAGCATATATTAGTTGAGTCAGGGTATTTGTGTAACCTTGTTAGGAACTGTTTTTCATTGGAAACGAGGCCTGGACTCTGTCGATGTTTCCAAACACCCCACTATCGGCTGTTCAACAAGAGATTTGTAAGTTCTTCTGTCCTGTGGGAGTCACTGTCCGGCAGCCCAGGAGGTTCCATCCTGCACCAAAGAGATCATTGATTAGGTTTGAGACTCCAGATAAAACAAGTTTGTTGGAAGGAATATGTGGGGATGAGTGATAACAGTCTGACTCATCCTGGCTTTGTTCTCTCCTCCAAGAAAGAGGATTTCATTAGAACAATATTTTGGAAAAACCGAAATCTCTACAGGCTTTTCTTTGGCAAGCTGATTTCATATTTCCCCACCACTCATAACCGGGACTGTGAACATAATGCCATGAGAAATCCATTTGTAAATGGACTTGTCTTTCTAATGACAGCGGCTTTCACAGGGAAGATCCAGACCTGAAGTGGAAGTTTTCCCAGAGCTTCCTTGTGCCTGAAATAAAAGGTCTTTTTGTATCAGGGTCATACACAGTCAGAGCAGCAGTTTAGGGTCTTTTTACCTCCAAGCTGCTGACATGGAGCACAGGTTCCTGGGATTGTTATGTCTCTGTCTGTGTTGTTTCAGGCAAGAGTTTGGCTCAGATCAATGTCCAGATCTGACAAGGGAAGTGTACCTCCAGGACATCCACTGCGTGGGCTCACTCTGCAAGCTCTACTTTAGGGAGCTGCCCAACCCACTGCTGACCTACGAGCTTTATGAGAAATTTACGGTAAGTGTTTGGATTTCCATTACGGTTCCTGGGCGGGACGCGTGGATGAGCCAAGGAGAGTTTCAGCATGAAAATAATAATAATAATACTCATCAGATGGATGACATTACCTCAGGTGATGGACATAGAATGGTATAGTGAAGAAAGTAGGGTAGTGGAACTGTTTGTCTAATTTTTCTTTTAGTTCAGAATCATGTTTGTTCGTTTGTTCTAAGAGCTGGGTTAAATTATCTCCAGGTTTATTTAACCAAGTGTATCTTATTGCTTAGGGAGGAAACTAAGAGCCAGAGAAGTGAAATGACTGGCCCAAGGTCACACAGCAGGACAGGAACCTAAGACTAATTGCTGCACCCACTGCTACTTTATTTTTATCAAGTTACTCCTTCTGAGGTTTGGGAAAAGGGATTGGCAAGTAGAGAGGGGAGAGAGAACAGACAGAAGTCCAGAGAGAGATCAGAAAGCAAAGAAGAGAAAAGAATCTGGGAAAGGCGGCCCAGAAGGAGCACAGGATAGACTGGGAGCTGGCTTGGTGGAGGGTGGATGGGCAAGAGCGGAACACGTAAAGAGCAGCTGTGTGGTCACCAAGTAAGGCACCCACAGGGAAAGTAGCGAAGAGAATAAATATTTAAAGGTTGTCTACAAAGACAGCGTTAAAAACAGGGCTTGAACATTTGATGCAGGGGTGGAGGAGGAGAGTTGGGTTTAACCAAAGTTGCGTGTTGGCCAGCAAAAGAGGGGTGAGAAAGAGGAGGGTGTGTCCAAAGAAGTGAGTGAAATCATTGACCATGAAGTTTTGTCCGAATAAGAAAGGAAATGAGGGCAGAAAGCGGGTGTACAGCAGTAAAAAGATCAATGGGTTGATTAATCATCCAGTGAAGTCAGTAGATTGCTAGAGTGGGGTGGTCAGAGGGGATGTTCGAAGTTAAGATTATGAAAGAGCTGCAGTTGTCGCTAAGGACAGATGTACGCTCTAACCATAGGAAGGAATCTCTCTCATGGCTCCTATAATAAACTTATTTTGAGCATATAAAATGTTCTTCAATTTGAAATGATATGGAATAAGTAAAAGCTTTTTAAGAATTGGGCTTGGGCCATTAAAATATATTTAAGAGTTTTTAATGATAGAGGAAAAAACATAATGATAACTAGAAAAAATAGATATACAATTGTATATTAAGACATGATTAAAAAGATGTTCAAAAGATTGATAATCACTTATTTCAATGATGGATTATAGTTTTCCTTGCTTCTTTCAAAATTGTATCTAAAAATACATCATATTTTTAATTAAAAAATTGGGCCAAACCCTCTAAAAATATATACCAATTGATGTGTAAGTAACAGTGGTCAGAGGGCCCTAAGAAATCCAAGGGAACCTTGAGATCTAAGACAGAGGCAAATGAGCCTCCACTCTGAGTGGCCAGGTCATAAATAGTGGCAGACTGTCCATCCGACCACAGAGGAGTCTTTCCCGGGAACCAGGAGGAAGGGTTGTGTGTAGGCCTCAGGTGAGTCTGCCAGACCATCATCACCATCACCATATATAAGTATTTCCCCATTTTAAAACTAGTCATACTTGATGAAAGACAATTTGGAAAATGGAAGAAAGTAGGAAGACATGCCTTTGGTCTCTCATCTAATAGACCAAAGACAACTATAATGAACATCTGGATATTTCTTTCATTTTCTTAAATTTACTGTTGGCATGGTGTTTTTGTTTTTCCAAATTAAAATAAAATTGTATTTCAAACATTAAAGCAATGCAGAAAAGTATAAGGGAGAGAGTATAATCACCTGAAATCCACACCCAGGTATTTCTGCTATTCACATTTTAGGGGACATCCTTCAGATCTCCCTCTCTCTCTCTCTCACACTCTCTCTCAACACTGGGTATTTTCAGTTTGCTAAATTATTTGCCATTTTGAGTCAAATTATATCTTGTTGTTTTAATTAGTACATAAGACTTTATTGTTTGCTTTCTACATTGTTTTAATTCTCTTATCAGTGCAATAGTATCACCCTTGACTGTGAGAGAATGTCATCGAGTTAAAGAACTGAATTAATCTAACTTGTTTTAACTAAATTTCTTTCTATGACAGTTGGCATAGATAAGAAGTCTTGTCTAGGAATTTCAGAACAGAAGTCTTCTTATCTCTCCCGGCTTCTGTTCCCTAACACCGCTAACATTCTGTTCTCTCAGAGCAACAGAAAAATGACAAAGCAATATCATTGTCAACCAGTCATCAAACTTTAAGGAAATCTAATGTTATGTTTAAACAGTTTATTGACACCAACAAAATAAGAATGTTTTGTTGTAACAGCTGACGTCTACATAGGTAGAACCTAGTGAAGTTAACTACATTAAGAATTTATCATTGGATAGAGTTCTTTGAGCACAGTAATGAATTATACCATAAGCGACGCGTGCACTGTCTCCCAGTGTCCACAGCGTCACGGATGAGACATGAGACAAATTCAGACGGACTCCTGAGTCCTGTGGAGGAAAAGGAACGGCACGGCTACTCCCTCAAGTGGGGAGAGCCTCAGAACGGCCTGGCCACCCTCTCAGGGGGAGAGCAGCTTGGAGCGGCCTCGGCAGCTCTCTCAAGGAGAGAGCGCGCTGACCCTTGCCTAGTCAGGCTTTTACTGGGTTTTTTGCACAAGAGTTCAGGTACAACAGTAAATAGTAGATAGTATACAAAGAACCATTAGGGCTTCTTCTAAATCAGGGTCTGTCAGCTAAAAGGCTACAGAACTATGGGAACATAAACTCTTTTTCTGCTCGGGCCTTTATCATTTAACTAAAAGCATGCTCAGCAAAGCAGGTTTTACGAGGTTTTACATATTCTTTCTCAGGCCTGATCACCCAGGGAGCCTGCCATTCCCAGCACAGAGCTGCACCACCTTCTGTCATTGTTTTCAGGCTTAAGTCAGGCAGAGGAGGCAGATAGCCAAGGAATTCTTGGAGACTTCTAGCAGACAGACTGAGAACTCGGGCTTCGTCAAAGCTGAGGGGCAAGGGTCCATCACCCCCTTTCTCCATAGCCCCCCAAGTCCTTCCCGGGGCCTCCACATGATCGTGCCTGTCTTAGGTCAATCCTCCCTTGGGGAATCTTACCCGTCATTGGCTGACTGATCAAGCACTGGGGGCCAGTTATGGAAAAAGGAGCAGAAACGATGCTCCTGCCAGAGAGATAAGCTTTGTCTCCTTAGTGGCTTATGGTCTGAAGGTCACTCACTCAGCCTTAGCCATGGGGGGTTTCAGCTCCTGAAACCAGGCAGGGTGGTCCCCAACATATAAGCAGACCTTTTCAGGGACCTGGAAATAGCTCAATTACATTGTCTCACATTCTTACAATGATTGATTTAATCCCAACTCACACAGTTAAAGTAGAATAATATCTCAATGGAATAACAGAATTAGAAAAAATTACTGGAAAAATAATAATGATTAATAGCTGCTATTTATTGTTACAAATATTATTTTGTTAATTTTTATTTGGTCTCTTTTATGATAAGTAAACTGAGGCTCAGAGAGGCTCTTGCTTGAGGTTGTATGAAGGTACAGCTGTTAAATGGAAGTAAACATTTTACATTTTGTCTCAGAACTACCACATTATTTAAAAATAACACTCAACAGCTCTTAAATATGCTCAGGTACTAAATAACTCAATGTAAGGTAAAGAAAGCATCCTAAACTAATGAAGGAACAATTCAATAATACTAGAAAAATTGGATAACTGCAGTGAGACTGACCGTTTCATAGTTTCCTATTGGAAGTGTAAGTTGTCTGGGCACCCAGAAAGTCACTTGAAATTACTGTCAGAAAGTCTTAAAAAGCTCATATTTTTTTATACAATAACTTTATTTTTTGGATTCCATTCAAGATAATCAGATATGCAAAAATAATTGATTTATGAGTATTTTATTGCAATATTTATAATATCAAAATTTGGGGAGTATGGGTGTGTCTATCAATAAGGGATAAGTTAAATAAATGATAATCAATCTATTGTTTTCAGTCCTGTGTATCTGTGAAACGTCACATTTCTGAAGCGTATTTAATGGCCACAATACAAAATAAAACAGAATAAAGCAGTCTATGTAACTAAATAGGAAACGATACCAGTGTTGGTATTTGGTACTGGAAAGCCTGGGAAGGTTGCTTCTTTCATGCTTTGCATGTGAGGAAGTGAGTAGTGGCTACGCCTGGGGAGCAGGATAGGAAGTAAGTTTTTACCTTTCATATTTCATATTAATTTTGAGTACATGTATTCATTTCATGTGGCTACTGTAACAGATTACCACACACTTGGTGGCTTAAACAAGAGAAATTGCGTCTGTCACATTCTGAGAGTACAGAAGTCCGAAATCAGTTTCCCTGGGCTGAAATTAAGGTGTCAGCAGGGCCGTCCCAGAGGCCCTCAGGGAAAACCCATTTCTTGCCTCTTCCAGTTCTGGTGGCTGCTGGCATTCTCTGGCTTGGTGCCACCTCACTCCTATCTCTGCCTGTGTGATCACATTGCCTTTTCCTCTGTGTGTCGGATCTTCCTCTTCCTTCCTCTATTAAGTATATCTGGGACCACATGAAGTTGAAGTCCGCAATGCTGGTGTTCCCTGTGATGGAGGTGTGGTCCTCAGCAGTGTCCTGGAAGTGTAGCACAAGTGCGTCTGTTTGGCATTTTCAAATGAAAAGCAAAATGTGGACTCAATCACTTACTCATTTTATTCATCAGACATTTGTTGGGCATCTACTACATACACTATGTATGGGGAGTATGGTTCTGGGTGCTGGGGATTCATAGTGAGCAAGACCTATAAAATCCTTGCTCTCGTACAACTTTAATGAGAGACAGGTGATAAACAAATTTAAAGTGTGATTCTCTAAGTGTTACCAGAGGTAACATGTGCCCAATGCTTCAAAAGGCGAATATTCGAAACATCGGGGAAAACATTTTGGAATAAGGAAAGATTTATTGATTGAGAAGGCGTCAAACTGGAGATGGTTGGGGACTAGGGGGTATGGGTGGCGGGCTCGCTTAGAGCTTCCTTGAATCCATCTTAAGAGAGCCCGGAATTCAGGTTTCTTTTGTGTTCAGGGAAGGGAGGATAGGCTGGGCAAGAGGTGTGTGGGATGACCAAGCACAGACATCTCTGTGCCCACAGAAGTGGAGGGAAACCTCTAAATCTCTTCGTGTCCCCCCATCCTTCCTTTGAGTCCAGTCTTGAGGCGCCTGCAAATCTTGGCCAAAAGCTCAAGCCTCAAGCAGAAATCCTCTAACATTAGCATATCTATAGCAAGAGCTATTCCCTGAAGGCCAGGGGAGAAATGCAGACTAGAATTAAAATAGAGTCAAAGAGAGTAAGCATTTCATTATTACGTAAGGAGAACTGTAGATAAGTATTATGAGGGGAATTTATGCAAGTACAGGGGAGAGAATGATGGGGACTGATATTTTTGTTAGGATAAATCAAACCTCTCTCTGTAAGGTGATATGTGAATAGAGACATAGAGGAAGTGAGGGACCACATTAGGCAACCGTCTGGGAGAAGATGTCACGAAGGACCAGCAAGTGCAAAGGTGCTGTGGGGGGCTTACCTGGTTGCTTGGGAGAATGTGTGGGGGCCACCTTGGTTGTTGTGGAGCACGCAAGGGGAAATGATGGGAGACAGGGACTTTGCAGCCGGGCCAGATCCCATAGCCATGCTTGCCTCCATGATGTGACAAAGACAGAGAGGCAAAGAGACTGTCGGGAAGGACACACAGTGGTTGCCGTTGGAGACTGAGGTCTACTATTGAAAGAACACTAACTTCCTTCCGTGTATTCCTTTGTTTGCTTTGCATTTTCAAAATTATGTGTACCAGGTACTTTCTTTTAATCTAATTGAGTAAATATTTTAAATGAAAATTGTAATTTTAAAATAAGTAATGCAAAACACAAGGCAAGGGCCGAGTTGCAGCGGGGGTATCGTTGGAAGGAGGAGCCCCAGATGGTTTGTCCACACTGCTGATGGGGCTGCACGGGCCGAAAATAAGTTTGCAGTGACTGGGCTGTTCCAGGAGAGAAACGAAGGTCTGGAGAGCCTCTGAACAGGGTTGGGGTGTGATGGGGAGAGGCCGTGAATAATAAAATAAACGCCAGTCCCAAATGGGAGCTACAAGCACCAGGGGACGAGCCCGCCCTGCCTCTCAGAGAACAAAGATGACTAACAGCTTCCTAAAATGTTAAAGGAACTTTCCATGTGGTCTGTTAAATTCATCTACACCTTTATTCCCCAGATACATTTTTAGAAAGGGTGGGGGTGAGTGTGTGCAAGCTTTGCCAAGCTCATCCCAGCTTTGTGGGGAGAGGAAGAGAGGCCTCCCGCCCCTCCCCCTTTGCAGGATAGACTGTGGGAGGCGCCACTTTGCATTCCATGCCCCTCCCTCCCCCGGAGTTTCTCTCCTTTTACTCCTTCCATGAAACTCTCCCTTGGCAGCCTGGGTCCTCCCCACAAATGTTTTTTAAGTGACCACTCCCGGAAAGAGAACAGAGGTGTCAGGGTGCTTGCTCCAGCCCCCCTTCCTGTCCTCGCCCTTTTCCTCCTGCATGTCTCAAAAAGTAAGGATGGAGTCGGAGGCCGCGGCTGACGCTGGCTCTGTTCTCAGGCTTGCAAACCCACCAGCAGGCACCTGTGACTGTGCCCCTCCCACTCTCATCTTTTTCCCCACTTCTGCTTAGAAAACAAAATATCAAGTTTTCCATGTAGAGAATTTTGATTGCCTTTAACAATGATAAACTTCTGTATATATAATTTACTTCAATTAATTAAAAGGCACAAAAAATACCCCCCCCCCCAAACCTTAACAGATAAAGCCCTGGCATGGAGGGAAATGGAGTGTACTCAGTCATTGAATAAGTCTGGAGAGAAATCTGTGGGCCAGGTACTGGGACTCGGCACATCCTGGCACTTACAGAACTTACATCTAGAGAGGGAGATAGACAAAAGAGTAAACCTGATAAATAAGCACATTATTTAGTACAGGCAAAGGTGGTGAGTGTTGTGGGTAAAAAATGGAGACTAGTCAGGGGGTTGGGAAGGTTGGGGCAGCGCCTTGGAGTTAGTTCTCTCTGGTTAGAACACAACAGACCCAGCAAGTGTAGCCCTCGCCAGGGCTGGCGAACAGAAGGTGCCCCATAAAGTTAACTTCCTTCTACCTTTCTGTGCATAAAAATTCTCATAACTGCACGTTTGAACTGCACTCCTTATGCACAGCAAGCAGATGACAACTAAGTGCTGAGCAGAGGTGAATAATATAGTTAGGATCTTATTTTAGTGGTATTGCAGGGGGCAGTACTTATCAAATTAAAGACTATATTTTACAATATACAAGATCTGTCCAGAAACATTCCAGCCATTGTTAATATAATGAGAATGGCTTGTGCAACATCAATATAACTTGTCAGTCAAAGAGAGTGGACTGAAACGCACGCATGTGGACAATGACAACTTTACTGTACTAGTCAGTGGGGCGGAAGACACTGTTGAGTGAGCATGTGTACCGCGTGGCCATTGCATTCAAAATGACTGAGCAAGTAGAGCAACAAACCTGGAACAGATTTTGCATTAAGCTTAAACATTCCTCTGCGGGAACTATTTTTCTGATTCAGTTGCAGCTGTGGGCAACTGCTGATTGTCAGCTTCATCACAATAACACGTCTACTCGTGCATCACATCTCCTGCAGAGTTTTTTGACAAAACGCCAAACCGCCCAGCTGACTCAGCCCCCTTACAGCCCAGATTTGATGCCCCGTGACTTCTTGATTTTCTCAAAACTAAAATCACCTTTGAAAGGGAAGAGATTTCTGACCATCAGTGAGATTCGGGAAAATACAACAGGCAGCTGACGGCAATTGGGAGAACTATATGAGGTCCCAAGTGCCTACTTTGAAGGGGACTGAGGCATCATGGTCCTATGTACAGTGTTTCCTGTATCTTGTATCTTTTTCAGTAATTGCCTATTTTTTCATATTACGGGGCTGATTACCTTCTGGACAGACCTTCTATATGGGGTGGGCAAAAGTAGGCTTACAGTTGTGAGTACATGAAATAAGGTGTTTATTCTTATATAATTACTTATTCTTGTATTATACATTTTTTTCATATAAACAGCTGTAAACCTACTTTTGCCCACCCTCTGCATAAATGTGAAGCAAGTTTCCAGCATAGGGAGGAATACAAGACTGTGTGAGTCATATGTGCCTATGGATTCAGGGTCATAGGAGTGAGGTGAGCTCAGAAGCTCCTTCTGAAGTATACCTTAGTCTTGGTTGGGTAATATGGGTATGTGCATATAAAATAACTCATGGAGCTATAGCTTAAGACTTGTACATTTTTACTATCTATAAATTATACCTCAGAAAAAAAGAAAGATGTGGCTACTGTTGACCTTGAATTTAGGAAGCGCTCCGATGATGGCAGCTCCGGAGCGCTCAGCCATGTGCGGGGAAGGGCCCTGGAGCCTGGGCACAGGCAGGATAGGTTCTCAGGACAGGGATGCGGGGGAATCTGCCCAGGGACGCCTGCACTGCTCAGAATTCCTGGACAAGCCTGTGATCGCACTGCCTTTACTGCAACCCCTCCGGGAAGGGCCTCGGGCCGGAGGGCGCAGACAGCATACCCACACGGGAAACAGCAGAGAGCAAGACCTGGCAAGGCCACTGGGTCTCAGGGAAAGAGCTCTTATCTGGCTGGAGAAGGCACGTCTTCCCCGCTTCCCAGCATCTACAACGTGCAGCTGCTGAGTAGTAGCAAGGGCATGGAATAGTCTGAATCTGGATGGGAAGTGGCTGTTGGCACCCAAGGAGACAGCTGGCTGAGTAAACACAGAGCCACCCTGTCATCTGCGCCTCCTCTGTCTCTGTATCTCTCCCAGAGTCTCTGTGACTCTTTCTGCCACACAAGGCACACTTGAGATTCTACACCTTCTTTACCAGATACCTAACACCCATCTGAGAGTGCAGAGAGACGGAACAATCCACAGGCCTCTGTGTGTGTGCAGTGCTAGAGGCTTCACGTATGAACCCTCAGAGATTCCGGTGGTTTTTACTAGAAACGCATGCCTCTTGGAAGGATGATCTGTAGGCCTGCTGGGAAGGCTGCAGGACCAGGAGCCTAAATAGAACCAGCGATGCAGGTGTGTGTCCACCCGCTCGGCACTCACTGGGTTTGTGTTCTTCTCTACAGGAGGCAGTGTCGCGTTGCCCAGAAGAAGGCCAGTTGGCCCGGATCCAACATGTTATCCAGGAGCTTCCCCCATCCCATTATAGGTAAGCATCCTTGGTGAAAGAAAGTCACAGCCTCTCATGGGGGTGTAATACCACCACAGATGCAGGCTGTCATCATAAAAGGGAACAAATTCAGCGGACAGTGGCTTTCCTGGGGCATTTTGAGGTGAGTGAACAGGTCACTTTTATCAGAATGAGTTGATGTCTGACAAGGGACACTGATGGGAAGGGGCAGCCCATGTCCCGGTTACTCACAGGGGTCTCATTCTAATTCTGATCACACAAGGGTATCCTCACAGGGATATCCTAGATTCTTACCCAGACTCATAGAGTAACCAAACCTGTGAAAACCAAGATGAAAGCTCGGGTTTGAAAACAGAGTTTGACTGTAGCTCTTGAGTGTTAAGCATCATCCCATCCTTTCATTTCATTCTCCCACTTCAGCCCCTAATCTTCCCACCTTTCTCCCATTATTCCCTAAGCCTGCCCATCTGTTACCGGGGGCAGATTTTGATGTGGTGTAGGATAGAACTTCCCAGCAATAATAGATGTTTTTCATCCAAGAATATCCCTCTTCCCCACCCTAGGCCAACATGCTGAGGGCCAAGAAAATTAGAAAATTACTTCCATCAGTCTTGGTATCTTCCTGATAGTCCTCCAAAACTCACAAGATAGAAATATTTACTTAGTCTCTCAAATCCAGACTTAGAAATTATCTCCAAGCTTCACACAGGCCCTAAAGTTTTTTACTTTGTAAAAACAAAAAACGAACCATTACAGGACCTTGGAATACCTGATTCGACACCTGGCCCACATCGCCTCCTTCAGCAGCAAGACCAACATGCATGCCAGGAACTTGGCCCTCGTGTGGGCGCCGAACCTCCTCAGGTAACCACCACGCTCTCACCCCTCACCCCACCATCCCTGCGGTGGGCTTGGAACAGCCCGCTGATGAAAACGAAGATTGGGTTCTTCAAAACTGAAGACCCTTGAAGACAAACCTGTAGCTAAGTTGTCTTTTGTAACACATACAGATTAAAGGTGATTTTAATAACCTTACTTTTTTGCCTGCTCACCTAGAAACTCTGGTTCTATGGCTGGAACCGGGAGGTGACTAAAGTCATGGGTCTGTATGTTATAATTTCTTGAAAAGGCCTTTCTTGTCTATGTAGCTCATTGGCTTTTGTTGGTTTTGGTGGGGTCACAGCTGGCTGTAACCTGAATCAGTTGCTTCATGTGAGTTTATAAATGATGAGCTGCCCCACAGAACGATCAGGTGGGGCAGATCCTATGAAAAGAAATCAATTCCTATGTTCACTAATAATAGTGTTATAGTCTTGCAACATATAATTCCTGGTAATTGTTTTAAATTTGTTCAGTGTGTTGGGCTTCACAGCACGTGGAGAGTCCCTTTAGTCCCTGGCGGGGTGGCTCAGTCCTTTGGAGCATCGTCCTGTACACCACAAAGGCTCATGCTCAGTACCTGGTTGGAACGCAGCTGATCAATGTTTCTCTCTCATGTCAAACTGTCTCTCTCTGTTTCTGTCTCTCTCTCCCTCCCTTTCCTCTTTCTCTAAAATCCTTAAACATATCTTCAGGTGAGAATTAAGAATGCATATATTCTACAGATTAACAAACTGTATGCATTGAAGAGACAGGGCTTGTATAAAAGGCCCACTGGCTCCCCCTTACTGCTCCAGGGTTGACTCACTGAACTGAATGTGTTTCTTTCACGATTTAGGTCCAAAGAAATTGAAGCTACCGGTTGCAATGGAGATGCAGCCTTCCTTGCTGTGCGGGTCCAGCAGGTGGTGATCGAGTTCATATTGAATCATGTGGATCAAATCTTTAACAATGGTGCACCCGGGTCTCTAGAGAACGATGGTAATGGTTCCTCCTGGCCTGCTCCCCACTAGCCCATCCTCCTTTCTTGCCGTAGTCATGGGACCCAAGAATAAGTAAGGGTGGCCCTGGTTCTAACTCTGAGCGTTGGCACTGTGTATATGCTGATTACTGTGTGTGTGCCAGTGTCTGGGGATTGTGCATGTGTGTGTGTGTGCAGTAGAGATGTGGTCTGTTTGCAGGTGGCTGTAGCATCTTTTTGGTCAATTGCATACTTGCACTATCCCATGAACATGGTATGATAAACTGTAATAATGTTCTATTGGTTTTATTAAGTTCTTAAAATCTTCGAGTTATTATCTAGAGGCACTGGCAACATTCCTCCTTTTAACTATTAGATTTCATCTTTACTTCCAGTGTGATAAATTTCAGAATACCCTCATGCTTTCATCTTGAAGTCTTAAGTGAATCAGTTAAGAGGCAGCATGTTCATACTCACATGTGTATTCAGACTGCATTTTCTTCCCAAGCCTTTCCTGAGTGCTTGCTTTGCCCTTCCCTAAACCAGGCACCACCCATAGAAAAATGAGTGTGTTTGTAGGCAAGTGAATTTACAGAGACTAGTTAGTATACACTGTAGCCATATTGGTAAGAAAGATATATCAGGCTGAGCACTATGGGATGCAAAATATTATACTTTAGTCCTATAGGTCTTATAATAGACAGTGAACCCGAGGAATGAATTGGGTAATGTTGCTTGAACTCATGTAAATCCAATTTGTAAAAACCAGAAATCCAGTTGATCAAGAAGCCTGGGAGAAGATGGTTGTGGAGTAGGTGGCAGCTACACTCACCTCCTCCCAGGAGGAGATTACAACTGGAATTACAACTAAGTTACAGAACAAATCAACCTACACAGCCAACTGAAGATTAGGAGAACAGAAATCTTATAACCAAGGACTTACAGAAGAAGCCACATCTAGGCTAGTAAGAAGGGTGGAGACACGAAAAGGTCTAACCCTGAACCCATATGCAGCAGCTGAAAATCTAGAGCAATACCTCAGCTACAAAGGCTCCCTGTGAGGAATGTGAGGTCTCAACCCCATGCCAAGCTCCCCAGCCTGGAGCACCAGAGCCCGAAAGAGGAGCCCACATAATGTCCGGCTGTAAAAATCTGGGGATTTGGTCACTAGGGAATGACAGGCATCTGTTAGAGACCTAGGCGCCCTCTTAAAGGGCCAGCTCATGAAATCTTGTTCACTGCCACTCACCCCAGGCTCTAGCAGAGGAAGAGCAGCTCAGAGCAGACTATATATAGTCTTGTGAGGACACAGTGAGATGTGTGGTTCTGGGTAGAATGCTAAAGGGACAGCCATCAGGGTCCCTATGGTGAGTTCCTCTCCCATTCTGCCCACAGACACCATCTTTCCTGGGTTGAGCACTCCCCTCCAAACTGCCCTGGCCTGCAGAGACTGCACAAGCTCCACCCTCCCATCCCCCTGTCACTCCAGCCAAGCTCATGACGTGCAGGAGTCTACTGCTTGATCAGCCTGTGGTAGAGACTTTCTTGAAGGGAGCTTGAGAGTGAACTCAGAAAAAATCAGAGTTGTGTGGCCCTGGGTCAGAGACCATTTACCCTGCCCCCTCACACACAGTGCACCAGAGCACCAGTGCATGTGAAGTGCCCTGCTCCCTGAGGACCAGAGTACCTGCACCCCACCCCCACTGTGGGCCAGAGTAGCTGTGAACATTATCAGAATGCCTGAGAGGCAGCACCCTGTACCCCATGGGCCAGAGTGGTAGCATCCCAACTCACCTTGGGAAAGCCACTAGCTCCAGTCTCTCGGCCAGTGGCTGGCCCTGCTTAGCTACACTCTGAAATATTGTTGGCAGGCTGTGGCCATCCTGGTCCCCAATTACAGAAGACTCTCCAGGAGGTCTGGGTAGACTCTGGAAAGAACTGAGTTGTTTGACTCTTGGGCGGGGCCATTTTTCCCTCACACACCAGACTAGCGCCACCATTCCTATGCAGAACTGTCTTTTCACAGGCCACATCTCTGTCTGTTTGGGCCTCAGCTGGCCTCACCCTAATAAATCACTGAGACCCTGCCCCACCACAAAGGTCCACAGGCACTTGGTGGGTAGAGCTGACCTTGGTGTACCCTGAGACCACTGCTGACTAGCCTCTAACATAGCACTGGTGTCAAGTTTGAATCTGTATCAATCTGATGAACACCTCCATCTGAGAGCCTCCATCACACAACTCACATACTGCCAGAGGCTTTTTCACACACTGACTGAGCCTACCAGACAGTTAACAGGTGAGGGCAGATCTCAAGGAGACTTGGGCCTTTTGCTAACCTGTCCGTGGATTCAGTGCCAGCAGAAATCAACCTTGGTGCACCCCTGGGCACCTCCCGCACAAATCCAGGCCCAGAGTAGGTAGTCACAAACTGTGGATCACTTTGTAGCTCCAAACAGGTAGCCCAGCAACCATCAGTGGCAGCACCTGACTTCAACCTGCACTGGATTCCCTCCCAAGGGGCCCTAACACACCCAGTTGTTCAGACCACAGAGGGTGTGATCTCAGCAGACACCAGACTCTGTTGGGGCAAATTCAGCTTGTGAAGCCAGCCCCAACTCAGCAGCTCATACACTGCCCTCAGGAGAGATACTTATCGCCAGCTGATGGGGCAGTCCCACCCACGGCCAAGAGCACTCAAACTCAACTACAACAGGAAGGCTCACATAACCCACACAAGGGACATTCCTGGAGCACCTAGCTCAGGGAATCACAGAAATATCCCGTCTGTGTCCCACAAACATCTATTGTATAAGGTCACCATACCAAAGCATAGCAGATCTACCTGATACACAGAAATATAGAGGGCAGCCAAAATGAGGAGACAAAGAAACATGCCTCAAATGAGAGTACAAGAGAAATCCCAAGAAAAAACTAAATGAAATGGAGTTCACACAAAGAGTTCAAAACAGTGGTTATAAGGATGCTCAAGGAACTCAGTGAGAACTTTAACAAGAGGTAACACACTATAAAATGACATAGAAGCCGTAAAAAAAAAAACAGTCAAAAATGAAGAATACAATATCTGAAATGAACAATAATACACTAGAAGGAATCAACCAGCAGGCTAGATGAAGCAGAGAATCAAATCAGTGATTTGGAAGACAAGGTAACAAAAAACATGCAATCAGAGTAGGGGTAAAAAAGAATTTTTAAAAAATGAGGATAATCTAAGGGTCCTCTAGGACAGCATGAAGTATAACAACATCCTCATTGTAGGAGTGCCAGAAGGACAGGAGGGAGAGCAAGGAATTGAGAACCTGTTTGAAGAAATAATGGCTGAAACCTTTCCTACCCTGGTGAAAGAAAACTTCGCAAAGATCCAAGAAACACAGAGTCCCAAACAAGATGAACCCAAAGAGGCCCACAGTAAGACACATCATAATGGAGATGGCAAAAGTTTAAAACAAAGAAAGTATCTCAAAAGCAGCAAGAGAAAGACAGTTAACTACAAGGGAGCTCCCATAAGACTGTCCGCTTATTTCTCAACAGAAATGTTTCAGGCTGGAGGGCTTGGCATAAAATATTCAAAGTAATGAAAAGCAAGGACCTATAACCAAGACTGCTCTACCCAGAAAGGCTATAATTTCAGACTGAAGGTGAAATAAAGAGCTTCCCAGATAAGAAAAAGCTAAAGAAACTCATTACCACTAAACTAGTATTACAAGAAATGTTAGAGGGTCTTCTTTAAGAGCAAGACATATTTTTTAAAAAGAGGAACATAGTTATAAAGAATAAAATGGCAATAAATATGTACCTATCAACAATCACTTTAAATGTAAGTGGCTTAAATACTCCAATCAAAAGACATAGGTAACTGAATGGATAAGAAAACAAGACCTGTATGTATATACTATCCACCAGAGACCCACCTCATAATAAAAGATACACAGACTAAAAGTAAAAGAATGGAAAAAAATATTTCATGCAAATGGAAAGGAAAAAAATAGCTGGGGTAGCAATACTTATGTCTGACAAAACAGACTTTAAAAACAGAGGCTCTGAGATAAAGACATTACATAATGATAAAAAAGTCAATCCAACAATAAGATATAACCCTTGTAAATATTTATGCACCCAATATAGAAGCACCTAAATATGTAAAGCAGATCTTGATGGACACAAAGGGAGAGGTTGATGGAAATACAGTCATAGTCAGAGATTTTAACACCCCATTGACTTTGATGGATAGATTTTCCAGACAGAATATCAACAAGGAAACAGCAGTCTTAAATGACACTCTAGACCAGATGGATTTAATTGATATTTTAAGATCACTTCACACAAAAACAGCAAAATATTCATTCTTCTCAAGTGCACACGGGACATTTTCTAGGATATACCACAGAGTAGGACACAAAACAGGTCTCAATAAATTTAAGAAGATTGAAATTGTATCAAGCATCTTCTTTGACCATGATGGTATGAAAGTAGACATAAATTACAAGAAAAAAACAAAATCACAAACAAATGGAGGCTAAATAACATGTTACTAAACAATGAATGGGTTAACAATGAGATCAAGGAAGAAATCAAAATTTTATCTTGAGAGAAACAAAGATGAACAAACAACAACTTAAAATCTGTGGGGCACAGCAAAAGCAATCTTCAGAGTAGCAATACAGGCCGACCACAAAAAAAACAAAAACAAAAAACAAGAAAAGTCTCAAATAAACAATCTAGCCTTACACCAAAAAAAACTAGAAAAAGAACAACACACAAAGCCCAAAGTGAGTAGAAGGAAGGAAGTGATAAAGATCAGAGCAGAGATAAATGACATAGAGACCAAAAACCAAAAAGTTCAAAAGATTAGTGAAATCAAGAGCTGGTTGTTTGAAAAGATAAACACAATTGATAAACCTGAACTAGACTCATCAAGAAAAAAAGAGATAAGGCCCAAATAAATAAAATCGGGGGGGGGGGAGAGTAACAATTGACAACACAGAAATACAAAGAATTG